AGTATGAATTAACAATTATTCCGTGAACGCGCTTTAGGTATCGATATGAGGTGATAGGTAGCCAACGAGGCGACTGGAGTTTGAACTGGAATAATTTTCATCAACTGAACTCCTTTTACCCTTCTTATTTTTTTTTTTCAAATAATGGAAACGTTTCGGTTTGACCTAAACGAAGCGATTGTTTGACTCGCTGCAATATCGGTGGCGCAGTTTAAGTTGAATCAAAAATAGGTAAAGAAAGCGAGCGAAAGAAAGCATATCTTAATAAATTTACCTCGCTCAGTGTCATATAAAGTTGTCTTTATCATGTGGCAAACGATGTTGGTTAACGAGCAAGAAGATCCGTTCGAAATTCCTTGTCAGCACGAGTCAAGTCCCGCGGCTAAAGACTCGAAAACTAATAGTGTTAAACGGAAACTGATCGTAGAACCAATACGAACATCGGATCAAAGGATAAGTCTGCATACGAGCCAGGTAGCTCATCAGGCGGGAGCTTATCCCAGTTTCTGTAGCATGAAGTGACTAGGAGTATCCCCCCCGGATGGGATGCTAGTCCATCGCAGGGTTACCCCCCAGCATTATGTTCGCTGGTACCCATTTATACACCTGGGTGGAGAGGCATGGTGAGAGTAAAGTGTTCTTGCCCAAGAACACAACACAATGTCCCAGGCCAGGGCTCGACCCCGGACCGTTTGATCCGGAGACGAGCGCAACCTCGTTCCCAGGGTCTCTCATCTTACCTCCTGGGGCGAGCGAGGAGAGAGTAAATGTGAACAAACTGCCTGTCTGTGTGTACAAGATTAGGTCAAACTCCGGTTATTTAAGAGTTATTTTACGAGCGAAAATAATTTCACCGTGAGCACGTAAGGTAAGAGATGGTAGATAACTTATTAACTCGCTTATTTTGTTTTTGAAGTAATACACTCAGCTATATCATCTCCTGCTGATACAAACCTCTGGGGCTAAGATGTGCAGTGAATAATTTTAATAATAATAATAATAATAATAATAATAATAATAAATAAAAATAATTTTTGAATAATTTTACAAGCCAAGTTGTACTTCTACAAGCTTTAACTTTCATTTATTTTGCGCAGGTTCTTACCTGGACAGCACTTAGAAGTAATGTTACCAGTCCCAGAATAAGCACATGCTCCCGAAAATACTCGCTTAACTTTGAGATACAACCCTGCAGCAAATAAGAGAACAGACTGTGAAGTGAGAAGAGATCTCTATCGGAGCTGCCGTGTTGTGACAACATAATAGGCAAGGGAAAGCTCTGGCTAAAAGATAGGACTTGATAGGAAAGTTAAGTCAAAGTGATGGTTTATTCAGCCGTGTTCCGTTGATTGCGCTGAGGTCAAAATCAATTACAGTCGAAACTCTTTAGCAATACGGCCATCAAACAGCCACAACTAAGTGTCTGCATAATGAAAGTGTCTGTATTGCAGAGGAAGAGATCATATGTCCTTAAACTAGGGATGTCCGTTTTATGGCGGTGTCCGAGGTTCGACTGTTCATAATGTTGGACCAAAAGCCCACACAAGCGCGGGCAGATTACTTGTTTTTATTACACATTGTAGTCACCATCTGTCTTCTCATTGGCTAAAAGCCTCCAGTTAATTCTGGAAAACAGCGCTACCTACAGATTGTTCACCAATCTGTATTAGTGAATAATCCGTAGGTTGCTCGCGCAATGCATGATTTCCAAGAGCAATGTCAAGCTCACGTAAGAACATGGCTTGTCGAAAATAAACTGTGTTCGGTGCGATAATGTGTTTGTCGTTATTTTCTTTAAAACAATGTATAATAAAACAATTATGAGATTCGGTTTTGTGATATCCGAAATAATCAAGGTCTCGGTTAGTGTTATCAGGCTTAGCCTTCGGCTTCGGCTGGTAACACTTACCTCGACCTTGATTACTCCGGATATCACAAAAACCTCATCCAATAAATGTTTATAATTTTGCAAACTTTCCAAGTCAGTTCTTCTGGATAGTCTGAAATGAATCATTCATGTTAACTTTCAGTAACAGATTTTAAGAGAAAAAAGAAGTCCGTGCGGTTTTCCCGATTTAGACGTTCGGTGGCCCCGAATTTTCTTTAGATAGATCACTTTGTCTCTAGTTTTCTCCCTTTTGCGAAACAAATCGTATATTAGAACTCTGACTTAATTAACCTGAACTTTTACAACAATAATTATAGAGCTTGTCGTTCTCAAAAATCCTATGTTTTCAGTTTTTGGGATTTTGGCATTTTTTTACGAGAAAATGACGTCACAAAATAAGCACAAAATTTAGCTCTTCGTAGCAGGAGATATTTGACATTTGAGGGTCTGAAAAAACTTGCCGCAAGGATCTCAACCTGAAAAAAAAATTAAATATGTCTATGGACTAAAAAGATATCATTTTTTTGAAATTTTCTACCATTTTTTTTACTAAAAATAGTATGATATTCAAATTTTTAAAAGTTAAATGTTTCGTGTGGAGAGTGATATTTCAAAGTCTTTTTCAGTTTTATAATGTTACAAAGTTTTAGATTCAAAAACTCAAAAACTTGCTAGTGTAGTGCACCTTTTGAGTCATTTGTGCCCACCGTGGGTTTACCCAAAAATTGCGACCCTAGCAAATTATAACGCTGCTAGATCCTGAAGTACACTGTAAAGAGATTCGTTACTTTCAAAACTTTGCGGCATCATGATGCTCATTGGAAATGACTGCATAAAAACTATATGGGTATCAATAAAAACTTTGAAACTGTACACTGTTAAATATAAAATTACCCGATAAGATCTCACTGATAATTAATCACCCTGCGAGCCCTCACTTAAAGCACGGTTCTCGACTGTTTAACAATAGCCTTTCAATGATATCAGTCTCTCATACCTGATGGTAGATATTTGAGGGGTGGTCCCTCTTGCCACATGCAGGGGTAATTGTCTTGCAGCACGAGTTTGGAACTGATAAGTTCTGGTTTTCAGGCATCTGTTTCCAAGCTGTGACATTCCAAGACGAATAACTTAGACTCCCACAACACTTGTGCTAGCCGAGAATAAACACACGTTCACAGATCAGTGTTGGCTCATAGCTAGTCGTCCTGTTGACACTAAAGTTAGTTAGTAACATAATTGGACAGAGTGGAGTGCAATTCAGGAAGTTATTGAATAATTAATTCAGGAGCTATTAGTTTGCGATTGGTTTTAATTTATACAAGGAAATATTTTTTCTTTACCCTTTGTTGAAGAGTGTCAAATGATTCTTTAATATCATCTGATGTTCCGTACTCATTCATTCTGGCGACACTGGCTTTATCTAAATCCTCCTCAATCTAGCAAAAAAACATAATAACAAGAAAGCAATCGAAATCACTGGCTAGGTGTTTAACCCATTAATTACACGTTAACTTTTGCTTTCGAGACGTAAAAACAAAAATATATTTATTTGTTCTTCCCTCAGTTAGATTACATTACAGTTGCTTTTATGATTCTAAACGACTAAAACTTCGAATTAAAAGATCGATAGCAAAAGTTTTCAAAACATTTTATTTCAAACTGGCATAAAAAGAAAACACGTATTACTTAATTTAAAAAAATCAGTGTAAATGCAGTTTCATTAAGAAACATATATATTGTCTTTCTTACGAAAGACTACCCTGGGAAGTAGTCACCTTTCCTTGATAAGGAAAGTTTGAAGCGATAATTAAGGATAACGTTTCTACCATTTTGAGACACACTAGTTTTGTAAGTCTCTTCCTATGTGTGTCAGGCGCCGAGATAGCAGGGAAAACGGGAGGAGAAGAGAAAACAGAAAGCGGGATCGATCGTGACGGGATTAGAGAGGAAGGTTACTCCTCTCCATGAGCCGGACCATGAAACCTATCAAAGCAGGATGTATGAGGTGCAAGTCTTTTCCGTGAAACCTGGATCAATAATGGTAACTTCTTACCTGAGCTCGATGAACGAATGCTGCAATTCCTACAGAGCATTCGATTACGAAGATCAGCGTCAACAAAATTAGAAACTGCAAAAGAGATGGAAACTTAACTAATATATACAGAAACCTAAGCATTCAGATTATACTGGGGACTGGGGACGATAGACGGGCACTTTGTTCCCAGGACTCCTCTCTTCTAATCGTAAGGATGGCCCACTCATTGTATGCTCTCGCATACTTAACTAAGCAAACCCAGAAATACTTGGCGATACTATATTAACTAAAATAACAGCAGTAGCTACTTACCGAAATAAGGAAATATCTGTGTTCTTTGACAACTCCATAACAGCCGCAGATACACACAATTATGATGAGACCTCCAGTACCAATCATTAGACCAACTATGATCAAGAACCACGAGCTTCCTAGAAGTACACTGTACTTGTTCTCAAATACTAATGTCCAGGCTCCTACTATCACTAGTGCGACGCCACTCAACTGAAAAATATTAAGGTTCTATTACAATGTGTTTGAATCCCACAACTCCCTCTTTGAAAGTTCCATAATAATAATAAACTTTTTACGTTTTCTCAACTTTTAATTTTTGCTATGTACAGGACTCTATGGATACTGCTGAAAAGACCACCTCCTGAAATTAACAAAATAGCCAAATGCGGAAAATGTTACAGACGCCAACAAGCTTAGGGGGTGGGGGTGGGGAACGTTTGTCAGTAATCAGAGAATTGAAACATCTGTGAAATGTTTTGTCATATTTTCGCTATTCTACAAGATATATCTGACTCTCAAACTTAACCATTTTAATATTGAACTTCGAGAGGATTATCCAATACAGACAAACTGATATCGATAAGGCCCGAAGAAACGTGCATCGGGGTCCGTACGCTTTGAACGAACGTAGCCTTTCCGGGTGAGGCCCGAAAATTGTTTTGGGGACGCAAAAATATACAAACGTCGTATCTGAGCGAGGAAGCACAGGGATATCCAACAAAAACGTTTGTTAACAATGTATTGTTCTACCTATTATTGACAAACATGGCATTCTTGTTTGTTTTTCTGTGTTGCTGGAAAAACTTTAATTTATTTGTTCCTTATCAGTTCGGCTAGCTTGATGCTAAGCCGGTAGATATTTTTTACAGCCAGCGGATTTTGCACCAAACCACTCTTCCTTTGTGTTAAACTGCATTTATGTGACCAGCTCTTGCCAGTAGCCCTAGTGGATCTTCATTAAACTTTTTCTAGCCAGCTCTAATAATTCCCACGAGTCAATTTCCAAGAAAAGAAAGCGTTTTCAGTGATAATATTCTGAAGAGAAAGGCAACAGCAAATAGGCTATTTTCCAAAACGAATTCCTCTGGAGAACAGCTCATTTGGCTTTGAGGGTCATACATGTACGTGGGCGGTTTATGATCCGCACGTTCTATTCAAATCAATGGTAAGACAATGCAATGAGTGTCTGAAGGTTATGGTAAGAGTCTACTGTTATGGTTAGATAGCCAAGAAACGTCAAAGGCAGGTACTGAGATTCAAAACTTTACCGTTATCGTTTGATAACAAAACAACGACAAAAATTATAGTATTTCCGGACAAGGATAACACGCGCACGCAGTATCAGTGACCAGATATTGGTCGCAATCGGAAATTGTTTACATTTCAGACTGGGGAGAATGTTTCTCCAAGTATGTTTATGTCCTTTCTTCCCAACAAGCGTCCGCGCTTAAGATGTTTTAAGGAAAAAAAAACAGAGGCTTCTTTACTATGTCCGTTGGAGTCATCACGAAATTCATTGATTATCTTCCAACTGTAAATGCAAGTCTATTGGTCTAAAAACGGAGCTGAGTAAAGTGTGGAGTTTCTGAGCATACTGCATTGTGGCCAATTTGTATGCGGGGATCGTGGAAACGCGATTCTTTCTTTTAGTGGAAGCTACTACTAAAAATTCTGGTTAAATTACATGGCCAAAGGTCACGTCTTAAACACGAGCGAACATTTCTGGCGGAAATAATCGCGTTTAATTCCCCGCAAACAAATTGGTTTTGCGATCGGATCGGATAGATGGCTTTTAATCCCGATTTGAAGACATTTCCCACTGATTTTAACAACATTCCTTCAAGGACGTCGTGCGATGCGGTTCATACCACGACGATATGTTTAATATACGCCATTTCGGAGTTGTCTCTTGCCTCTGAGCCAAAACGAGTTGAAAATGTGTTCCGCCTACAGGCTGACTTTCCATGCAGATCAAACTCATTTTCATGTGAAAGGTTTTGCATCAGGACTCGTTTCGAAACAGAGGCATAAGGTAAACTCGAAAATATCCTATTTATGTTCAGAAGGTCAGACGATAAGCAATCTTCAATTAAAACAAGGATACTAAACACTTGTTTTCAAGTCTTTTTACAAGACCTTGGTTTCCGGGTGTCACCTGTCTAGTCGAAGCGTCTAATCACAAACTTTAAATGATAAATACAATATAAATATAACATAATGGAAGTCATTCTCGTCCCGGCTGTTAACGCAAGCGTATGGCGTCTGACAGGGTCTGAGGAGACATGCAAAAAAGACGATCATGCCATCACGTGATACAGACAAAGAACAACAATACAACTGGGACGAACACATACACGGAGCACGGAGTTTTGATTTATTTCAAAACATTTCACGTTTGACTGAATCATAACAGTAAAATGAACAAGAGGCGATATATTTACGTTTAGAAACAGCACCCGAGAAATCGGCTTGACTGAAAATTGTCTTAGTAACACAGTAATCGCCGATTACTAAAATGCCTGTTATGTAAAATATCATTACCATTTTGTCGGACATTGCCACGTTGGCGCATTTTGCGGGCTAAAATGGAGAATTTGGCAAGCTAAAAGACGGTGAAATTTCATCACTTACAAATAAGCTTTATCGAGCTTTCTTTTCTTTTACAATTTAGAAACTCGAATGGCAAGATTTTGTAATTTTTGGCCAGCTTCGCCTGGTGTATTGCGTACTTTAGGGAAAATGAAAGCCATTTAACTTGAAAACGCTTGCGTGATTGTTCAGACTGTTTTGATGTTATTTTTTCAGTTTTTATTTTCTCACTGCTTTCCAAAGTGATAGTAATAGTATATACAGTCCATGTTCTCGGGCATAAATATGCCCTTCATAGAGCTCATTTTAACCCTCGCTTAGCGGCTCGGGCTAAAGTGAGTCTGAGTCGGGTCCAAAACATATTTATGCCCAAGAACATAAACTCTAAGTTCTTGTAAATCATTAAGTAAAAAACAAAAGGTGACCTTATTATAATTTTAAAAAAACGCATTATGTCTTCAATCAATTGGAATGCATGATTATAATGAGGTTAATGATCGCTATGTCACTATGTACAAGAATGGCCAAACCGCTCAGTCTTAAACTTTTCCCAACAGAAGTTCAATATAAAGATTAATATTTTTGATACATGTTATGTTTTTCACTTGACTTGATAGACTAAATACGCCACTAATTAAAGTGGAAGTCATCAGATTGTGTTTACTTACCCAATAAAAGAACGTGAACATGTGCATTGGCGCTTTCAGGCATCGAACACTGCAGCAGCGCCGCTCTTTCTTCTTCTTCAACTCAGCATTTTTCCACTCTGAATAATCTGCCGGCACCATTGTGAAAAGCAGAAAGGAGCACGGTGAATCCGGGCGAAAGGCACGGGAGGTCGCGACTTGTAAGTTCGCTAATACTAGCGTGCAAGCGAAATAAGAAACCTATACGTCCTGTACAAAACGTTTTTGGACGACGTGCGATTAGATTACAGAGCACATGCCCTTAATTAACACATTAACGAGAATTGCCAGAACAGGAATTTTTATGCAGATGAAAGTAACATTTTTTTGTTAAGTTCCTTGTCAAGTAAGTATTGATTAAAATATTTCAAAACAAGTAATGAACAAGAGGACAATTAAATGTTTTTTGAAATTTATTATTCATCACAAAAAACCAACAATATATCTTAAGATGATGGATCAAAATATAACAACTCCCAACCTTGTGACAGTGTTTGTGACATATAGCACTAAAGTCTCAATTCACACGGAGAACTCACGATACCTAATCCTTTTAGGGAAAGTCAATAAAAAGATAACAAAGATTGAAGATTATATTTGGTTTCCGGCATGTTAGTTATGTGACCTCATCAACCTCGATCATAGCAAAGAGAAACTACAAGTAATTCTGACACTGACAGGAAAGAATGAGTGAAATTAAAGAGTTCTATACACGACCAACCATTCACGATAAGTGTATGATACTCTCTCTTTTTTTATAAGGATGTTGTATTTCCGGCCCAGAATGAGCATTCTTTTTCTCTGCCGAGTTTAGGCTGAAAATATCCTTGTGAATATTCTTAGATTACAGGATATACCAAAGTGGCCGAATACCGACACACCAAGTCAAATTATCTTTTCTATCATGACTTTGATGACGTCAGAAGCAGTTTTAATTTGTAGCCACATAACTTCTTGCAGAAATGGTATATAAGCATCAAACATACGACTAGTATTGATTTTGTGGCTTTTTTTTCTTGGCCAGTTTTGGCGTTTAGAGAAAGGAAGAATTTATACACGGTATAGTTGAAAACATACCGTGTATTGTCTTTGCAAATTTTCAACACAAAATTATATTCTTTTCAAACTCGCAGCATCGGGTTTATTCTTAAAATATTCTTTAAACTTCCCAAATTTCGGTCTCGATATTCTTATGAGATATATTCTTATCTAAAAAAAAGAGTGTAGGATACTTTAAAAAAAAATGGTGAGCGTCATTTGACCCGTCCATTTTCACAGTAAGGAGCATTGTATTGTATTTGCCATGTTTGGCGATTCTCTCTTCTTTTTTCCAACCTTACTTGACAAGACTGAACAGCCGAGAGTTAAGTTTCTACAGACATGATACGTAATTCTCTGATCATAGGACACTCAAGTATACCAGAATTAAATATGCATTCAAATGAAAGTATTCAACATTCAGCCGGCTATATATACCTCTGTGGCGCTACATGAGCCCAACCAGTCTCAACCGCTAGAAAGGAGTAAACGCTGTCTCGTTGATTACAGTAAAATACTCTTGTCTCATCTTTAAGATGTTCAACAGTAGTGAATTCGTCTTACAAGCTGCAAGAGACTGAATGACTTAGTTTTCGATGTAATTTAAACTCTTTATAGGACTAGGTTTTTTAAAACTATTCAGTGAAGTTTTAAAAAACTGAAGTTTTTTTTATGTTGGTCAAACGCGGCGGCATTTGCATCAACGCATAGACGAGCACAAGAATACGTCTTCCTCCATTGGAAAACATTTTCGTGTGAAACATTCTTATGTGCCCGAAGGATCTTACCAAGAATTTTACCACCTTAAAAAAGTGCAAGAACAAGTTTGACTGTCTCATTTACGAAATGTTTTTATTAATGAACTGAGACCAAGTCTCAATGTAAAGTCACAGACTCAATTCGTGCGAAAGTTTAAATTATTTGAAGTAAAAACTAACGGTAAAAGCGCGCGACGTTTCGACCGAACTTCGGTCATTATCAAGCTTAAAAGTGAAGATAAAAATTTTTGCATAAGTATAAATATAAAACAAAGAAGTAAAAGTATGTTAAGTATGAAAATGTAAAAAAGGGTGTTACAATAAAGTGCATGGAAGAATAACAGTAATTAAAAATGATTAAACTCCCTGAGAGAAACCCAGCTCTGAGAGTTTTGGGGGTCTCATTACTGAGTTAATTTGAGCATGTTCCTTATCTCTGCGAGGCGGCTGGTCAGCTATATCACACATCTTTCTCCACGCACTCGTGAGACCTGACATTTTCATATTTATTTTTTCATATAAGACCGATGTACTCACATGTATAGCCATATATGGCCATTTTAGGCAGCAAACTAACCGACCACGGATATTGTAACTAATTTTTCGTGTGATACAAACACTTCGTTATTGTTGTTGCTGGTGTTCGTAAAAATATATAACGTGAGTTTCATGCTTTGATGCGTTTCTAACTCTACAAAGAACCATTTTAGTATCTATGATTGGGTGTTGCTCTGTTTTACTGAATTTTTTTTTTTGCGCGCAAACGGTAACATACTTAACGTCATCAGTATGGGAGGGATGCCGTTAGGGACTTATTTCAGACGTCGTCACTCTGCGGGCGCGGGGATCTCTCTCTAGACTCTCTTCTCCCCAGGCTGCTTGTGTCTGACAGCTTCGGCATGATTTTTCGGTGATGCGCTATTTGCGCATTTTTTTGTTGTCTCTCACAATTTTGTTTCTAGTAAGAGCTCATGGGCTCCTGGTGTTAGGGTATTTTATAAGTGTGACGTACAGGGTACAGTGGAACCCCGCCTTACGGCCACCCCGTTAATACGGCCACCTCGAATAAAAGCTCAGTCAGTCATTTTCTCATTCAAAGAACTCCTTCGATACGGCCACCCCGTTAATATTGCAACATTTTTGTGGCCCATTGGATTGGCGCGGATTAACCGGGTTCCACTGTACGGTGAAACCCCGCCTCTACATGGCCACCTCGTTATCACGGTCACTTCATTCTGGCCCGAGCAAAAGCTCAGTCAGTCATCAGTTTTCTGATTCAAAGAACGCCCACCCCGTTAATACGGCCAGGTTTTTGTGGTCCGTTGGTGACCGCATCAATGTACGGTGTTCCACTGTACTTGTATACCAACAGGCTCAAATTGAACAAATATTGAAATAAAGAGCTGCTATGTTTGCGAATGTCGATAAATTAACCTGTTCCAGGTTTTATCGTGGCCCACGAGAACAAACGAGCATTCTCAGACGATTATTGACCATTCGTATGTCAGCAAGAACCACTCCATCGCCGATAGGAGCGCAATTCCTGTACATTTCAGTGATCACGCGCTTAACATCTATATAGGTCGAATTCTTTAGGTCGGAATGCCAATAACACCTTCCCGCGTCACTGAAAGGATATCTTTCAAACCTCATTCTTAGAAAACTACTTCACTGTGATGGGCAAATATCGTTAATCTTTAATTTGCACTGCATGCAGCGCAGATTAATAGATGCATATCAATTCTCGAGCAGTTCAGTAAGAATTTACACTACTGTGGTATTTGCAAATTCTTTTAAATAGCACTAGCCTGCTGCCTAGCACAATTTTGAAAGAATTTTTAAATGTCACTCGTAATATAAATCTTTAATTCCGATTACCTATACTTAATCAAAAGATGCTTTTCTAACCGATGTCACAAACATTACCGGATTGAAAGTTGAATCAATAAATTCTCAGGTATACGGGTTGTGTTGAGTCATAATGCAGGACAGAGACTTGCACTACCACAAAGAAATAAAATCCAGCTCTTCCTATCTCTAGAGATAATTAGAAAATTGAAAATCATAGCCAACAAGATGGTTTTGAAGAAGTGTATTAAAAGAGGATAAATTGCTATTGGCCAAGTTCTTTTTTTGCGTGTTTATGGACCAAGATGGCGTCGAGGTCCATAAACACCACCCCACCTCCATAAACTCGCAAAAAAAAAAAGAACGAGGTCAATATCCAGCCATCTTGACCGAACAAGCTTGATCAATAACGGATTTATTAAATGGCTTTCGGGGAGATCTTTCTTGCGGGACACGTCGGGTAGTCCCGAACGGGCAGGATAAGTAATTAATTAAATAAGTAATTAATTAAACACACAAAAAAACTATTGATTCTGAAAAGTTTGTTGTACTGAAAGAACAAACATCTGAGTCGAGTGTTCGTTAATCTGTGGTAGGAATTTTCAGACAAACAGCAGACGTGCACTTCAGATAAGTCGTTAAAACGTATCTTAGAACTTTTTTGCCGCTGGCTTTTGATAATTCACAATTTATGCTCCCAGCCAAACTTACTGCAAAGAAAGTGTTACGAAAACATCCCAGTTTTTCTTACATTTCTAACATTATCTTCCCTCTTTTAACATTCAGTAAATTCAAATAGTTCTTTGATAAACCTTTTGACTGATTAGAATAATGTTTTTGCGGATAAACTATTTAAAACATGCAAGTTTACTATCCCCAGTGTCTTTGTGCTGCTCATGTTGCCATTGTTCTATGTGATTAAAATTGTTTTACCGCTTTCTGTGAAAGCAAAGCATTATGATTAGATAAGGGTTTTTAATTAGATGTAAAAACAGTTACATATAAAAACTTCAAGACAAAATACTTAAACAAACGTTGAATTAGTTTAGTATCTAAATGTGTCATTTAGAATCGAAATTTTAAAGGCATTTCGACTAGAAGGCATTCTCGACCCAATTCCATTCCCCAATGCTCCGTTGGACCATGCCTGTTTCCCGTTTTTCAATGTTCGTTGGCTGAATGTAGTAGTAATCACGATTGAAGGCAGTGTGACACACAGTGGCTAGCTATAGTTTCCTTGGCTTTTGAACTGTAAAGTTCTCGTGTTATTGAGTGCACGTTACATGCCAAACTGGGCCAAAATTAGAATCTGCAAAGACTCTGCAATCTAGGGTGTGTGGCTCCAAATCCGCGCAGTAAAATCGAACTTACAGAAACGCTGTCAACTTTACTACAGAATCCAGGATTATCACACTCTAATTCCACTTTCTTTGTTTGGCATGATAATGATGATAAAGACCCGGATGTTTGATTCGTTCCACTTCCATCGGTAACATCATCACACGGTCTAGTAGATCCCAGTCCTCCCCGCCCCAATTGTATTGGAAGTCCTTCGTATTCATTCCTAGCAATGTAAAGAGAGAAACATTTGAGAGAAATTGTCACAGTTCAGAAGCGGGAAACAGCATAACTCTTCCTCGAGCGTGGAGATCAGCAGATGTGTACTGCGCATTTTTCACATGATATTGTATTGTAAACTCACAACGTGACCAGCTCCCAGTTGGCTTGATGGTTCACTTAGTAGAGCACTGCACTGGCATCGGCAGAGGTCATGGGTTCGAATCCTGTTTAAGCCTGAATTTTTTTCACGTGTTGTTTCCACAAATACCTTAAATACGTTCATAACTACGGTGATTTTTCATGTTGTATATAAACTTACGCCTGATTAAATAAAAATGGTCGAGAAAAATGTATAAACGTTGAACGACAAGTCCCAGTGGTTTTCTGAGAAACGTGAGAACGATGTCGGACTTGCATCATAGAGCATGTACATGCACTACAGCGTTTACGATATCTGACACGGAGATCATGTAATGCTTCTAGGAAAAAGACATTTGCTAATAATATTAGCCTGGCTCGTTTGATCTCGCCATAAGTATTTTGGCTTGACTGCGTCTCATCAAAAAAGGAACCATGACTCTTTATCATCTACTGTTTTTCGTTACAGTGTAGGAAACAGTCATGCCCATTTCACAAATGACGATGTGTATTATGCAGGATGAAATGATTTAATACAATAAATATGATTGCACTTACCACCAAATCTGTCCCAGTCTGATTTATAAACAGCCATAATTCCATAGCCATTCACTTGCCAAAAACCCCGATGCAGGGTGGAAGAACTTTCACAGTCCAGACGACCAACTACAGGAAAATACGCCATTCGACCTACAATGGTGTTCTATGAAAAAAAAAAACGATTTTGTTCAGAATGAAAGCAGATGTTTCAAGATACCAACGACTACAAACAGTTAATTTCTAAGACGGGTTGAAAGGCATTGCACACACACACGAGGCGACTACTCCCTGCGACTACTCCCTGCGACAAGTCGCGGGGACAAGTCCCATCGTGTGAACTGGCCATTCCCTTGGTGTAAACTCTTAAACTAGTCGCGGGGACAAGTCCCATCGTGTGAACTGGCCATTCCCTTGGTGTAAACTCTTAAACTAGTCGCGGGGACAAGTCCCATCGTGTGAACTGGCCATTCCCTTGGTGTAAACTCTTCAACTAGTCGCAGGACTAGCCCCCTCGTGTGTGCCGACCTTTAATATTAAATATCTCTTGTCCTAACTAGTCAATACTTGATCCCATCCGTATAGAGGTAAGACCATGTCGACAGATATTCATAAATTTCACTGCTGAGTCACTGTCGGGCCTACGAAGAGTCTAGATTCATTCCTGACAGGGACTTTGGGAAGAGTGTTGTAAGGAGGGGGGAAAATAGAATCATAACGATAATTCTCTTTTGAACAGCGGACCTAAACCCCGGACAAAAGTAGTTGGGACAGTTGAGCTAGATCACGTATCCCCCATCCCCCCTAATCAATGTTGAAAAACGTCGCGGTTTGTTTGTTTGTTTGTTTATTTTTTCCCAACAAAAAGGGAAAAGATCTCCTGATTATCAACAATGTAAGTGGGGGAGGGGAGAACTTGCTTCGCGTCCCAACTGTTTTGTCCGGGATTGTAGAATGGTTCCACACTTGGGTAACAACACCATCCTTGGTATCAATGTCAAAGTTATCCGAAGTTCTATATTGATACAAATACATAAGGTACATACCATTCGCACACTGTCCATTATCTCCGGGGGTACATCAATATGCAGATCAAACAGGAAAACTATGTCATGCGCATTGGGAACTTGTTCAACGGCCTTGTTTAGAGCGAGAGTCTTGAAGAATCTACCCGTTAATGAAACAATAGTATGTCTACTGCTGAGAAGAGATGTGTTAAACGCCTTGCCCATATCAATATCTTTACTTTCAAAATCAACAACTATGACGTGAAAGTTCGTATCACCGGTTAATAAGCTGGCATCAGTCAGCTGATTAATAAAATGATGCACCCAGTTTCCTTGTTCCTTAACAGGGAGAATGAAGTACACTGTAGCGTTGTTATTCCAGTTGATTCCTTCAGGAAGGCACAAGGTGTCATTTCCTTTCTTCTGATACACATGCTCTGACAGTCGAAATGATTGATCGGTGTTGTCTAAGCCAAGTTCGAGGTTCAACAAGAAACGGTCGCCATTCTTGGGGTCTGGCTTGTGAATCACTTTGTGAATTTTTTTCAAAGAATATTTCCTGAAATGAACCAAAAAGAAGAGAAAAAGGAATGCATGACAGATACGTTTCATTCAAATGAGCTCAAAGTGAACCAGGAGGGAAAACTCTTTAGGGTTTTGGGCGGGTGTGTGCCTCCCATACCCATGACATGACTTATACCTGTCCTATACGAATCTTCAGACCTGGCCACTGTTAAATTAATGGCCGTTTGAGTATCACAAGTAGTACTGGTCATGACAAGTGATTTTATTTTTAGTCATTTCATTTAGCGTTCGAACACTGGACGAGCGCAAAAAGCGTCTGGTTACAGGACGCTCACTACGCGTCAGACGTTCTTATAGCACTACTGGAAATTTGCATAGTTAATTTTACAAATCGCCCGCAGCCGTACACGGAATCTATCGGAGAACAGGGCGCTTATGCGTGGTTAGAACGGCAAGAGCTTAAGGACGTTCGCGCTAACTGTTTCTGCGCATCATTCATTCACACGCCACGTCGTGCATGAGAGCGCGCGCGTTAAGTACTAAAATGAACAATGATAGGGCAGATGGCCATTGCTATAGCTTAGCTTGGATTAACGATCTTGGAAGTTCGGTGACCCCTTCTTTTCTTTCCAGAAACATATTTTATTTACAATTATCTCCATATTGTCCAAAAATGAACAAAAACTCAATGTGGGAAGTTAAAAAAAATTCAAGATTTCTGTCCACGGGACATCGAATCCTGCCATCTTGCGGCTGCAAGGCGCGCGAGACTATGGTCGCTAAATGCGAACTTGTTCTTTAAGGAACCTCACCAGTTGACTAAATTCCCTTAATAGGTCCACTTAAACAATATTTGACAGAGGACATTTCACTTCAAAGATCTAATTGCAATATTTTTGGCCTGTGGCCTTATTCGCTAACAAAGCCCGATTTTTCAGATTTAGGGTGTTCTTCCGGGCATGTTCTCTCCAAAACGAAGTCGGTGACCCTCCATTTTTTTACATTTCTGACATAACTAACTCATCATCTTACAGTGGTAAAAGTCTCAGAATTTTCGCGCGACCGTCCTTAAACCCGAAGTAGCGAAAACCCGGGCGGAACAAGCGAAACCATCGAAACAAAATCACGCAAAAGAACTAGCGAATCGAGAGAAACAAAAGTGGCACCGCCCGCCGTGTGAGATTTTCAACCTTGCGATCAGTTGGTTTCTCTTAAACCGAACGCTCGACGTAACAGAAACCAACTGCTCATAGGGTAGAGATTTCCAAAACGGTCTAGTACAAAACTCGGACCAGATAAAATCGTGCGAAATGAACGTAATAATGCAAAAAATAAAACCAAGCGTAAAAAATAGCGGGGTGAAAACAAAACAGAGAAAACAAAGAAACATTGACGTAATGCGAAAACATCAAGCGTATAAGATTAACAACATAAATGATTTAAAAGTTTGGCCATACATTTATTTCTTAATTTTGGACGTTGACAGTTTGGTTTCTTTTCATATGATCGTTTTCACGCTTTTTACGTTTTTAGCATAAGCCGACATGCGCAAATGTAGTAACATGTTGCTAAGTAACGCCTTTTGTTGTACATATATTAATACAGATAGTACTCAGGTTACGCAACAGTCGAAATATAAAGATGACAAAGATTTGTATGGGAAAAACGGTTATATTCTTGAGCCTAAAAAATGCGATGGAGTATGAATAAAAATAAACCTCGCTTCAAATGTGTGTCACCTTGGTTCCCGTGAGGTTTCTTGGCCGGTTTATGGCCATTTGGGTGATTTTTAGCTTACTGCTTTAATTGTCGGTATCTTAAATCTAGAGCCCGATCTAGAGAACAAAGCAGTGAAGCTAAATTAAATGATCATAAATCGGCCTAAAAACCTCACGAGAAACAAGGAAACACACACTTGAAGCGAGGTAGGTTTATTTTTATTCATACTCCTTCGTATTAGAATATAACCGTTTTTCGCATGCAGATCTTTATATTTCGATTGTTGCGTGCGTAACCTGAAAACTAATGTATGTACAAGAGAAGTGCATCAGCGAGCGTGGACCACCTGCGATGCTTATATGCTTATATGCGCTGGCGAAAACCAGCCTTGTAGCGGTTGAAAACTGCCACGTTTAGCACGTTTAGTTAGGAAATTCAGGTTTCGATGGTCCAAAACAATACAACCTAGCTATTGTTATACTGAAGCTGGATGAATGGTCTAAACGGAAAGCCAGTCCCTATTACAATATGCATTTAGCACAAGCTATGAACATAAAATCTTTAGCCAAGCATGGAAAGTAAAGGATTGGTTATGGCTTAACCACAGAACCCTTAACACACTTGCATCCTTTGTAACACGTTCTAAAGTTTGAGGTTTATTCTTAATTCTCGACGACTGTTTCCCGCGCAGAACCAGACAATGAGCTACAAAGCCATCTGCGCGCTGCCAACCATGTTTGCCATCACAGGTCACAAGTTGACAAGGGCTGACAGGATCTACATGTTGTAATAAATTACGATGCAACAAAAGAATCAACAAGAAAACTTGGTTAAGCTCTCCAGCTCAAATATTAATTTCAACAGTAGATATTTTAAGTGGCATTTAATTTCTGACCGACTTGTGTTTCTCAGAAAGTTCCGACTTTTTCGTCGAGAAACTTCATTTGTCATCGATATCATCATAATTGAGGCGTCTTTTCGCCGCCTTTGATGTAATATATCAAACACAAGAGGTGCGTGTTTCATCGGGATATCCAAACACCGAAAGGAGAGTTGAAAATACGACGCGAAGCAGAGTATTTTTGACGAAATTCGAGGTGTTTGGATAGCCGATGAAACACTGTCTCAAGTGTAAAACAAAAACAAAAACTAAGGAGTAAACGATGAAATAAAACCGTCAAAATCTATGCTGATTAAGACTTGATGCTGGTTTTGACTTGATGAATTATTAATGAGTTTGAGAATGATGTTTCTAATTCCGGAGAAGACGGCATAATAGGGAGTTTAAGACAACCACGACGGCAACAGAAACGGGAACGTCACTGAACAAAAGGTTTAATGAGCAGAAGAATGGCTGTGAACGTTATAATTCTTGGTGCATTTCTTTTGCTGTGTTTAGACTTGAACGGTTTACCGAGGTACCAGAGTTTACTTACCTAAGTAAACATTTTCCGTGTGTAAACGCCAACTGATACTTTGGTAAATGCCGCAAAAGACAAAAGAAATTTAACCGAGGTAAAAGTTGTAATTA